CGCAGTCAATGGTGGTTGACCGACTGAAAAAAAATTAAAAAAAAAAAGTTTTCAAAAAAAAAAAAAAAGTCAACGCTGGAATCTGACTTGAAAAAAATTTCAGAAAAAAAATTATTTTCTGAAAAAAAAATATTTTTTCAAAAAAATATTAAAATGGGGGTTAATGTGATATATTTGTATAAATCCGGGGTCCATGTGTAATATTAAAGAAGTTAGAGCATAACGGATGGAATTGCTAAGAATTATATTATGGATGGTATTTTTGATTAAAGACATGGGGATGTGTTTATTTGAAAGACTGTTTCTTTTTGTGGACCAACGTGTATTTAAGTCCATTGTCATGGGCCTATTTGCCATTCGTCCATTAATATTATAAGTATATTAAAAAAAATTGAAATTTTAGAATTATTTTTAGAAATTACATCGGATCGGAAATCGTACCATATATACTCAAATTCTGATCCAAAAAAATCGGAACTGGAGTTTTGGTGAATCTGACATCTGTATTTCAAACTATAGTCGACTGTATAAACTTCATACATGTACACATTAAAATACAATACTATAGTTATATGTAGTAACAGATAATATCATATATGCATGTGATTGTGATTGCATATTTTTCGATTTGTATTTGTTGGTTATGCATTGATTTATAATATAAATATTTCATCTTTTTTCTAATTTTTTTGTTGGCGGGGCTGATTTTTTTGTATATATTCGATGATATTGGTGTATATACATATTGGTATGATACTACAAATGACTATAGTCGATTGTAGTTACTTGAAGTTATTTGTAGTACAATAAACATATCTAAATTAAAAAATAATAAAACGTTAAATAAATATATATATATATATATATATATATATATATATATATATATATATATAAAGAAATGATTTTGTGTTAAAAAAAAAACAGTAAAAAACAGGTCCAAATATGCTCCAGGGTATCTCAAATGAGCCCTAATCGGTAAAAATTGAATAAAGTGTTACAATATTTGATCCTTGAAGTGTTACAATTTTGTTTTGTTGTAATATTTGAGTCCTAAATGGTATCAAATCGTCATCGTTTTGCTTGAGAAAATAAGTTTAGTTCACATCGTATGTAGCACGGAAACGGAAACATCGATACAGGGAAACGAGAAAACGAACACGGGAAACGGCATGTTGCAAATATGAGGATATGGGAACATGGCGTGTAAATATTAAAAATATAGGGGTATGTTCGTAAATACTCTATACAAACATGTATAATTTTTGTAATATATAAATTCTTTTTATATATTTTTATATCCAAACATATTCAAAATAAATGCCAAATCTCACTAATAGTCCTCCATCTTAGTATTTAGTCCCACTTTAGTCCCTCATGTCTCAATTGTCTCATTATCACCCTTCAATTCTACAGTCTATCTCAATATAGTCCTTCGTTGTATAATTTTGTTAATTTTAACAAAATATTTTATTTATAGGATGAATCTATTCTTATAATTATTTGTAATAAACGTTAAATAAATTAAGAAATATTAGAAAAACATATGTAATTGAATTAGTTCTTTAAATATCAACATAAGATCATAAAAAATATAAATAAAATTTTAGTAGAGAATATATGTAGATGGCATATTATAATTATTTAAATATATTTCTAAATTCAAGTCATATATCTGAAAAATAAATGATTTATTTTATATTAACATGAATTAAAATTTCGTAAAATGTTAGTTTTTTAAGTGATATTTTTATAAGTTATATATTTGTTGGTTGCAAATACTATTTTTAAATTAAAAACTTTATTATTTATTGAAAAAGTCATAATTTATCAAAAAGAATTATAATTATAGAATATTCCATCACTTTTTTAAAAAATTCCGTTAAAGACATTAGGTTTATACACCAAGGAATGATAATGAGATGAATTAAAGAGATAAACGATGAAAATGAGACAATTGAGACATGAAGGACTACACTGAGACTAAATGTGAAGATGATGGACCATTAATGAGATTTAACCAAAAATAAATTTTACTATCAACTATCAATTTGCAGTTAAATCATTAAATAATGTAAATAATTTGAAAAACAATAAAAATATTAAAAAAAAAATTTTATTCAAATATGTTTCTAACTTTTTAGAAATTGCAAAATGACCCTAACGTGTCCGGCATGTAGGTATTTTCGAGTTTCCGACACAAAACGTTAAGAAGTTGAATGTTCTGTGCTACATAATTCACATTGGAAACTTGGAAGAGACTATTCAATAAACATTTAACAAATAAAAATTTGAATTGAAAGAGTAAAACCAACTTTAAAAAAAAAGTTGCATGCTTATTGCTTTTAAATGTAAGGGATTCGTTAGGTGCAATATGGAAAAATATTTGTTTAGGGATATTAATATAATTATTTGTTGAAATACTTAAAATTGGTAGGCACGCCTAATAAAATCTCAACTCTATTCGGTTACATTAAATGAAAAATGGAATTAAAAAAACATTTCTTAAAATGAAATCAATATAAACTAATAGCTCCGAAACCTAATTATTAAGTCGTTGAAATAAGAAAATATCTGGAGTCAATTATTGTTATTGCTCAATTTGAAAACTGAAAAAATTAAATGCTAGTGAATTTACAATATTATCCATAATCAGGTAGTGGTTGCCAAACACGAAACCCACCAATTGATAAGAAGGACACGTGGCGAAAATCTAGCTGGCCAGTTCTCCATTATGATTAAGGGTAAATTACAACCACCACCCCTGAGGTATGGTCAAATTACGAAAAAATCCCTCATGTTTGTATAATTACATGTACCCTCTTCAACTATCAGTTTTCTTACACCTTCATCTTTATGGTGTGAAATTCAACATAATCTTCTAGATCTCGTGGAATGTTCTCTAGTTTGTACTCGTTTTGTGCAAAAATGAAGTTTTTTATGCACCACAATATATTATATACAAGCCAAAAAAACTAGGAGTGTGAACGAGCCGAGCTAGCCCTATTGGCAGGTTCGATCTCGAGCTCTAGTCTATTTTGTCGAGCTCGAGCTCGTCGAGTTTCTTCTTTTTTTCTCGAACTCGAGCTCAAGCTAAAGCTCATTTTGTTGTTGGTGTTGTTGTTGGTTTTTTTTTTTTTTTTTTTTTTTTTTTTTTTTTTTTTTAATATTTTTTTCATTATCATTTTATTATTATTAAAAATTATATAAAAAAAATTACAAAATAAACAATATATATTTTTAATATTTATATTTTATATTATTTATTTCAATAATATTTTATATTATTATACATATTTAAATAAAAATAATATTATAAAAGATAAATATAATAAATCAGGCTGACGAGCTGGCTCGTGAGCTCACGAACAACTAAAAACTGGTTCGAGCTCGAAACTCGAGTCCGAGTTCGAGCCGGCTCATCGAGCTCACGAATCGGCTCGGCTCGTTTACTTCCCCTATAAAAAACATATCTTATGATCATCTTACTTCAAATTATGGAGCTCGAATGAGATAAAACGGGTACAAAATTAAGAATATTTCATATAAACTAGAAGATTCCACTAAATTTGACACCTCAAGAGGTTGGTTGTAATTATCCAAACAATAGGGGTTTTTTCATAATTTGATCATAAATCAGGGGTTGGTTGTAATTTACCCAATAATTAATAATAATAAAAATTCTACATGAGAAAACAGAGAGCAGAGGCAAAAATGAAAAGGAAACCTGTGATGGTAAATTTGGTTCTCTCTGTCACGCAAGCTGTGTTTTAGACCCGACAACTCTGCTCTTTTATAACGACGTCTAAACTCTCTCTTTCTCTCTCCTCTTTCTCTTTCTCTCTCTTCTCTTTTTTCTTTTTTTTTTTTTTGATTCCATCGCAATTTTGTTTGAAAAACTTTTCCCCCAATTCTTATTCATCCATCCTCTCCAGATAAATACGAAAAAAAACAATTTTCATACCGCCACCCAATTTTTTGCTTGAATCATCCCGCCGCCACATGTTCCGCCATGTAAATTTGTTGTGGTTAATTAATTGATTGATTAATTGATTAATTGATCACGCACTGACCAATCGGTTCGATTGAATTTTGGATGTCTGATAAAGAACGGCCGAGAGCTGACGACGGCGGCGGCGGCGGAGGAGGAGGAAGCGGCGGCGTAGATGACGAAGACGACGGAGAAGAGACCACAGAATCGGTGGACTCGAGTGAGAAAACGTGCGCAGGCTGTGACAGAAAGGGCAACAAGAGGTCCTTTTTCCGGCTGAGAAAGGGGAAGAAGCCGGCGAGCCAGAAGAGGAAGCAGAAGGGCATTTATGTAAATTCAGGTTGCTGGATGACTAGGGTAGGCCGTGGTAGCACGTGCTTGAGCCGGCCACGGGTCGCTGTTGATTCGTCGGGTGAGTCACCTACAAGTGACCCTAACAGTCCGGAGTTCACTTTTGGTATGTTGAGAACTCTTATTGAGAAGAATGATTTTTACTCCAAAGAATGCAATCCCCATTTGGATCATCATGATTATGTCAAACAAGGAAAAAATACTTAGAAAAAAAATTATATATAGATTTATTTATATGATCAAAAATATTTGGATTTGATTGGTGAGAAATTGTTTTCGGGTTTTTCCCGGTGATTCTTGTTGGGGGTGATTCTTGTAAGAAATGCCCGGGTTTTGTTACCGAAGAAAGAAAATCGAAATCGAAGTCCTTTTTTTAATTAAAGATTGTGCCATTCTTGATCTTTATTATACGGATGCTTTTCGATGTTAATTTCGTCGGATTTCGGTTTGTTGGTATGGTATTAGTGTGGCTGCATTGGAGTGAGTCGTGTTAACGTAAATTGTGATGCTTAATTTATATATGAACTCGAGTCGATCATTTAGGGTATTTGCTTTGGTATTGGAGTTGCTAGAATGTTTCGAAACGATAGCATTTTTTTTCCCGTTAATAATTGAAGCCCGTTAATCGAATGAGGGGATTTCGTGCTGAGAAAATCAAATAGAGGAGGTTGTATTTGTTGAAACATTTTTAGACGAAATTGCATATGATGGCTTGGATTTTTCGAGCCCGATTAATATTTATGGGAATTGTGGTATTTGAAAATGCAGAATGAAAAGCCTTAACATAATGCAGAAAGAAAGATGGATATGAAATATACAATCATATGAAAGACTAGTCGATTCTCGATGGTTGCATTTGGGATGGAACCTAGAAACGAAAGCCCGATGAGTTCGAGCTTGCCAAATTTAACTCGACCTCGAGCTTGAAAGATCTGGCTAGCTCGATTCGTTTCAACCCTTAATTAGTCTGAGCTGTGAATGAATTTATCGACCCAACAATTATCAGCAATTGTGGGTTAATTGCAAGCGAGTCGAAATTTTGATATTATGTATAATTTAAGTTGTTTAACTAAAATATTTATTTTCGTGAAATCGAGAGCGATTCTAGTTATGTGGTCAACCCGGTTAAACACGGCGGTCGAAACACCGTTGGGAACTTGAATATTCGGCTAGGCTTTGTGTAAGTATGATGAAACCTACATACTCTTGCATTCATATCTTCCTGGCGAAAAAAAAAATCGTTGGCCCGTTTGGCGGTGTGGGCTCATACGCATCAGCATATACAAGAATAAAAATCGTTAGCTCGTTTGGGATTGTCAAACCCTCTCGGACCCTAGACAACCACTACTCCATTAAGGAGAGTAATTTGTTAAATGAATAAACGACACGTGTAATGAGTGCATGATTCATGCTCCAGTTTATTATTTTTTGATGTTAATTTTGATTGAGGCATGTTATTATATAGTTTTATTAGTTTCGTGATTTTTGGTATTTATAGTATTTTTGTAGGCAATTTATACATTAATGAATACAATTAGGTCAGGTTTGGTTGCCAAGATAAAATTAGTCAAGATAAGATTTTAAATAATTTAATAAATATCCAATTATTTTATCATATTTCGTGAGGTCCAAAAAAAAATTCCTTAAAAGACAAGATGAATCATTATAACATAATATTTACGGGTCGACACGGCAAATTATTGGAAATACCAAACATCAAACAAAGTTTTATTATTTAGTTAAATATGACTAATCTCCCCAAACAAACGAGGCCTTAGTGGACAAATAATGAGCGAAAATTGCATGTTCGTAATCAAAAGTAACATCTGAAGTTGAAATCAAATTAATATTTAAGAATATAATCATTGTTATTTAGAAATAAAATTCGATTCCGAATTTTAACCATTTTAATAGTCGATCTAATAGAAGGAACCAAACATTTTATATTCAAATAAATTAATGAGTTGATATCTGATCTTATACAACTTACTCATTTGGCTAAATCTATTTTAAATAATTGATAAACTCCTATATATGAGAAGTTGTTTTAAAAGCTGATAAATTGTTACGTAAAACTAATTTTTAAACTGTTTTGATAATGAGTTGAAAAGTTTTTTTTATAGAATTTCAAACAAAAAGGGTGGGGTAAATGTATTTTTTTTAAATCTTAAAATCTCTCCAACATTTTATTTTTTGAATTTTCAAGATCTTTAAAAAAAAATTAGGGCAAAATACATTTTATTTTACACATCAGTACTATGGAAAAATGTCGCACTCACCCCCTATCGTATCGAAAACTACAACCGAACTCCCACCAACATCAAACGCCAATCCCAACCTCAGACTAGAATCCCAAGAAGCCATCATCGAGAACTTAACTTTCTTCCACCCCAAGCTTTCATCCCCATCAACACTCTCATTCACCCTCTTCATCCAAAAAAAATTCAAATTGACCACCATTGTTCCTAGAGAAGTCAAGATTGAAATTTCAATCAAAATCCTAGAAAAAAAATTAGGTGTTTCCTTTGAATCAAATAATTAATGAGAAAAATGATCAACATATTCAGAGATTACGAAGAAAATCGGGTTATGGGGATGAAATTAAATCGGTTTTCAAGATTTTGGTGGTGTGTGGCGGGTTGGGGGCGATAGTAGGGAGAACGGAAGCAACAATGTAATTTTGTTGGTGAAGAAAAATTGAAATGTGATGGTGGAAAGGTAAATTCACCATTTTTGCTTAACGGTGTCAATGTTTTTACCATTGACTGTTAAAACTAAGGGTTATTGTATTTTTCGATACCACAAGGGGGTGAATGCGATATATTCCATAGTACAAGGGTATCCATAAAATCAACAAGTCGGGACAGAGAAAAAGTATTATTTAAGCAAGGTTTTTTATTATTGAGTATTAATTTATCGAGATTCTACTGTATATTACTTTAAACATCTTAGAAGTTGTTTTCAACAACTTATAAGCTTGACATGAATGTAATGAAACGAGGCCTCAAGTTTTCAATCAAAATTAGCATTTTTCCCAGAAAAAGAAAAATCTTGAAAAGTAATTCCTATTTCTTCCAAATATATTTTTGGGAAAAATTATAGATTAAGATTTCAAAGAATAAAAAAGGCAAAAACTGTCCTAAACTAAGAAATTTTAGATTGGATAGAATTTTGAAAAAAATCCCAATGGAATATTCACCCCAAGTTATTGAAAAAGTAGTACATATTTTACAACTAGATCTCCTTTATTTGAAAAAAATATCTAAGTGGAGAAAATCGTTATTTTATGTGAGTGGGAGGCAATGTGTCGAACCCTAACTTGAATTGTTGAAAGTGTCCCAAAGCATTTTCCTCATCAATAAATTAATATACTAAAGCAAAGGAGAATATATCTTGCCAAGAAAAAAAATCATTTTCTTTTCTTATTATATATATATATATATATATGATGATTCAAAAGAAGAAATTTTAATTTGTATTTTTTTTTTAATTTCCATAAACTTTATGTCGGTTTGTACTATGCTACATTTGATGTATTTCATCGGATTATATTCTATACATATGTTTAAATTCCATATACACAATTTACATACATTCACATATGTGTATTCACATATGTGTATTTATAAAGGGCTTTTCAAATGGATAAATCTATAAATAAGTAAAAATAAATCTTAATTTATGAATTATCTAGCAAATCTAGCATAATAGGATCAGCACTGTTACTACACAAGAAACTCGTGCTATAAAATGACTCAAGTGCATGGAAAAGTAGATTCATATAGACATATATCGAACTTTCAAGCTCAAGTTTCAACTCGCCACAACGAATTCATGATATATTTGAATTCAAGGTATTAGTTTATATTTATTTGATTTAAGAAAGAACTTCTAAGACATTGAAATCAATTTAAGAGCGAAGAATCAATGGAATATTTAGAGATTGTAATTTGTTTTTCTGTTTTGATTAATAAACTCGTTTGTTCCCATTTTTCTTTTCTCGTATAATTTACTTTTACAAACGCGAAATTTGTGGTTAACATACATACATGAACACAAATAGCACGAGATGTACCATCTAGGAGACTACTATGTCATCATTATTTTTCATACCATGTTTTTGAATTTGGTTCTACTAATAAGGTTAAATTACGGTCACCCTGAGGTAAAGTCAAATTACGAAAACCCTCGTGTTTGGGTAATTACAATCATCCGCTCAATTATAAATCTTCTTACACATCTATCTTTGCGGTGTCAAATTTCTAGATTATGTAGAATATTATCCATTTTGTACATGTTTTACCCCATTCAAGCTGCACATTTTGAAACAAGATGATCATATGATGTGTCTCTTGGCTTGTGAATATCAGATTGTGGTGCATCATAAACTGATTCTTTTTGCACAAAACGAGCGAACTAGAGAACATTTCACGGAATCTAGAAGATTATGTTGAATTTGACACCATAAGGGTTGACGCGTAAAAAAAATCATAGTTGACGGGTGATTACAATTATAAAAAAAAAAGGTTTTTTTTTCCTAATTTAATCTTATCTGAGAGGATATCTTATCTGAGAGGGTGGTCGTAGATTACCCTAATACTAACATAGTAGAAATGCACACAAGTGATTTTAATTCAACACACCCACGAAGTAAGAATGAAATGGTATCCAAATTGAAGAAAAAAAGAAAGAAAGAATATATATGCCATGGGCAAAGCAGGTGAATAGATTCCACTTTCCATTATTTATTTATTTATTTATTTGAGGGAACATTAATTTAAATTTACTTTGACCTATATCGATAGATATTTATGAATTTGTCCTAGTCACGTACCCCTGTGACAACCATGAGGATACCATGTGACCTCCATAACACTTTTGGCTTTAGTTGATCATTTACCTCTCTCGAGGCAAAACCCCACCCCCAAAAACACACACACCCACCCCAAAAAGAACAAACAGAATACAAAAAATATATATATATATATATATATATATATATATATA